ACGCGCCAGTGGTTCCTGGCGCCGACAATCACCTCCCAGTAGTGCTGCCCGCAGGAGAAGCCCTTGCAGGTGAGGATGCAGTTGCTGCAGTCAAAGCGCTTGGGGTTGCTGTCCCGGCGCTGGTAGAGCCCGCACTGCACCACGGTGTCACCCTTGAAGAGCTCCAGGAGGGGATGCGCTGTCACCGGGTCCAGCTTCAGCGTCTCCGGAGCTAGAAGGAGAGCACGCAGCCTGAGGCGCACTAGCAGCGGGGCTCCGGCTCCGCGCCGACACGGCTGGGCTTTAAGCAGCTGGGGCGTTACGCCAGAGCCGGCCACACGGTAATCTTGATGACGTCCTGGTGGAAGCACGGCTTGAAGGACACGGGGCTGAAGATGCCGTCGCCGGGGTGGAGGCTGGGGAGCTCTGACCTGGAAAGACACGGGCAGCCGTGACGCAGGTGACGGGGACGGTGTGTGACCTCTTCTCACCTGGCTGCCGTGTGTGGTGGAGCCACTGGTGTCTCGCCAGCTGCTCTTGCCCTCTTCTGGGGCTGAGCGCGTGGCTCCAGCTGTGGATATCCATCACGACACCAGTGCCCACGCGAGGCTGCCCCAGCAATGCGGCGATGCCTGCTGGCCTGGCACCTCTAGCCCTGGTGCAGAGGTACTGCCATCCCCACTGATGCTGTTTGCTGCCACGTCCCATCGCTCACCTGAACTGGGAGGAGCCGTATTTCTGGAAAACACAAGAGAAACAGAGAGTTGGTGGTGGGAGCCTGACAGAAGGGCAGCTCCTCTGCGTGGTCACAGCTCCACACAGCTGTGCCCTGGGCTGGCGAGCTCCTGGGAGAGCTACAGGTGTCGCTTCTCTCTCCTTGGAAGCTACGGGTGTCAATTCTCTCTCCTGGGATTGCTATGGGCATCAGTTCTCCTGGGATTGCTACAGGCATTGCTTCTTGCAGAGGACCAGGCTCTCCCGTTGGGGGAAGCCCTGGCTGGACGGAGGGCACCGACACCTCACTCCTCGTGGTGTCCCAGCTATGCTCGGGGAGGGTCCCCGCTGCCCGGGGCTGAGCCTGCCTGCCCGTCGCTGCCTTCACGAGCGAGCGCACTCACCCGGATGAAATCAAGCTGGCTTTCGTTGCTGAGCGCCTCCAGGGAGCTCTGCACCTCCTTCAGCCTCTGCAGGGCGTCGGACGTCTGCTTCACCTGGGACTCGATGGAGGTGATGAGCTGGGCTGCCTTCCCCTCGATGCTCTCCAGGAAGGTGGCCTTCTCCTCGTCGATGTACCTGTGCAGCTCCTGGAACTCCTTCCGGATCACCCACTTGAAGACATCCGCCTCGTTCTGCCGGGAGACAGCGAGCGGCTCTGTGGGGCTGCCTTGCCCCGTCCCCTTCACCCACTTTTTGGTTTCAGAGATGCCGCCAGCGCTGTCAACGTGTCCCACCAAGCTGCCCTCCACTGGCTTGCCAAATAAAGAGCAGCTCTTCACAGCAGGCCAGATGTTGTTTCGTCCTGCTGTCCTCAGCAGCTCACCACCACGGCACCCCTGCCTTACACCTCTCCTCCCCCAGACTTTTGCTTCCTGATGTCCCCAGCAGCTCGGTCAGAGCCTTGAGAGAGCTCTTGGGTCCCTCTGCGCCCAGGGAACAACCTGTGTCCCGGGCTAAGGGGGAGGAGAGCGCAGCTCCACCTGCATTTGGGTTGAGCCCTTCTGAGGAGCCTCATTTGGCCTCAGAAGTGGTGCCAGGAGGTCCCTTGGAGACGTCTGCTGCATGGGAAACGGACACACAGCTAAACCAGGCATCAACTCAACGTGAAATCAACGGCATTGCTCCGACTGGGAAGCCTCCTCCGAGCGGGGTCCTGTCCACTGGTTATCTCCCTGCTTCCAAGGACATTCGGTCAAACCAGCTCGGAGCGGTGCTCCTGCCACGACGCGGGGTGAGGGCTACGTCACCCTTCTGAAAACAGGGCTGTGTTTATTCCCTGAGTTTCGTGGAGAACACAAACCTCAGGGAACAGGGTGGGAGATAAGCCCTGTCTGCCATCCCAGGGAAGGGGGGAGAGGAGGAGAGCTGGGGAGACCCAGGAGCAGAGGTTGCCCCGGGGGCTGTGTGGGACACAGAAGACTCCAGGACAGAGGCTCCCTTGGCGCGTGACACTCACTGCGATGCGGCTTTTGTTGTTGATGAGCTTGCTGAAGAGTTCATCCAGGTTCCTCTTGTACTGGTGGACGTCGGTCAGCAGCACAGACAACTCCTCCTGAAAAGACAGCGCGTCTGTAGGGGGCACCTCTGCGGCAGGCACTGCTCGGCAGCCCCCCGAGGAGCACGTGGCCCTCAGAAGCCGCGTTCTCCTAAGCTTTCTGGGGCCCTGCATGACCCGCTGATCTTTACTCCCTTCATCTAGAGGATGTGGGGTTGCTGGAGGCAGGAGAGCACTCAGATCACGGCCCCGATCTGGATGCTACTGACCCAGTACCCTGGCCA